CCCCAAAACCCCAAAACCCCAAAACCCCAAAACCCCTCCATTTTTAAATATAGTTGAATTCAAATATTTTGAACGAAGACACACTTAGGAAAGCACAAAGCTCCACACACAATGCTGGGAGTGGACAGTCTTAGAATAAGAACAACTACTTGGCCCCGGAGTCTTTGCTGGTGCTCGAGTCAACTCCTTTGATTTCAGCAGTGTCGTGTTCAGAAGTTTTGCGTCTCTTCACAGTAGCTTCGGAGGCACTGGCTTCATCATCTAAAGCCTGTTGTCTGGCCCTCTTTTGATCCATTTTCCTCTTAAACAGCTGGTACTCTTTGTCAACTTTGCGAGCGGCCTCCAGGTGCTCTTGGTAGTCAATGTCGAAGTCTGACTTCAGAATGGGTGTTAGCTAAAGCATCACTCAAACACTTACAAGGTCTTCAATGATCTTGAGGTACCGATCTTTCATGATTGTTCGGAGTCTATCTGCTCTGGCCTTGGCTGCAGCTTCTTGTTCTTGTTTGTCAGAAGACTTATCTTGTTCAGGCTCTGACAACTTGAAGTGTTCACCCAAGTTGTAGATGTCTAGTGGCAAAACTGTGTTAAGAAGGATGCTCATGTGCAGCCAAAATGCTGGCACGATCGGTCACTGGTCGGTCTTGGCTTGATCGAATACTGAGTCATCAAGGTCCCACGAGTTTGTGACTACGACATTTGTGGCTCCACTTTGGTACTCATGTGTATTAATCATGCCTCTCTCACTTGAACTTGTCCATTCGTAGCTGTGAGGCATTTGCTCAGCTGTCTGGGTCGGAAAGAAACTCAAGTACGCTCAGTGGATGCCTTTGAATAAGTCTTTAGTGACACTGGCACGGATATTTCGGATGTCCAAGTTGTCAGACTTCCCTTCTTTATCATACACTTCGAAGTACTTGCAGTGCATTTCCTTCAGTAATCTACCGTAGTACAACAAGAACGGATCAACATCTTCTTTGATGTACAGTCTGTAGTACCTTGGAAGACTCTTCAACATGAAGTCTGCTTCGTGTGTTGGGAAATAAACGTATGGAGCAATTCTCAGTAAGTTGTCAGCTGCTCCTGGCCACACATCGGCTCTATCATCAAGAATCAAGAAGAAGCTGTGATCTGTCGGCGACAACTGTCTGAGGGTCTTGTAGGTGCCTCCGTCAGTGTGCTGGTGGCCATCATCTCTTGAAATCACCCACCTCGGGTCAATCTTGAAGTGAGGAATCTCTTTATTCAGAACTTTGGCTACTAAATTAGCATAACTACGGTTGCCCATTGTATAAATATAGATTTTGAAGAGAGGGCTGACCATCTGTATGAACTCTTTGAGGAAGGGTCTGATTTTGGTTTGAGTGACTATACCTTCTTCTGGCTTAACAGGAAGTTGAAAGATATTATTTCCCAGGAAAAACTCTTCCAAAGAATTTAGGATCATGGTCTTTTGCAGCACCAGTAGTCGAATGCAGTATAGTATTATCCAAATCTAATATCAAAGTGAGTTTGCGTTCTTTCAAAAGACTATCCTTAAGTTCTTTCTCCTTCACTAAAGCAAGTCTCTCTGTGTATTGAATTTCATCGCTCAGTAACTTAAAAGTCTTATGAGTGTCTTGAGAGTCGATAAAGAATGTACTATTCCTGACCTTCCCACATTTTAAACACATCTCATTGAAAATTTCCTCGCATAAACACTCTTCCTGATTTTTGATAATGGATTTAATTGCTGGGCTTCACTCTCTCTTACTACTCTTAGGTTCTTTCTTTTCTTCATAATCAGCTGGTTGAGGCTTTGCTATATTTACTTTCAGTAAAAATTGTTAAAATATTTACCAACCCAATAAAAACCCTTCATAATCCCTATCACAGTCTATGCTTGGCTCTGGTGAGTTATCTTACTCGGTGTTTGGAGTTTATCAATATTTTCCTCCTGAATTTTTTTCCTAAAACTGAGGAATCTCTCCATTATCTGAGATATTTTCAATAATTATTCTAAAAATTGGGGTTTTGGGGTTTTGGGGTTTTGGGGAG